TCCTGCAGCAACTGCCTCTTCAGCCTCTGGCTCTTCGAGCACAGGCATGGTCAGCAGTGCATGCTTCTCGATGGCTCTGGGATTGCTCAAACAGCTAATCTGCAAACCACCGACAGACTTCTCCTTCCAATCAAGAAGCGGATCTTCATCCGGCTTCAGGTACCAAAAGGGTGCTGTGCAGCCAGTGCTGGGCTTCTCAGTCGTGGCTGCCTTGAATGCCTTCGGAGCAAGGATGAAGTAGGTAACTCCTTGGAAGACTACCTCACCCCAATGCTTAGCCTCAGGCTTTTTGATGCTCATCTGCTGGGGGCTGTCTGTGCACGGAACGAAAGTGAGCTGGTGAGCGGGGATCTTCTGCAAGCTGTAGGCTGTTCGCGCCACGGGATTCACAGCGATCATCTTCCACAAGTTCTTGTGCTCCAACTTCGTCGTGGCCTCGAGCAGCTGGGTGTAGACAGTGGCGAAGGTAGCTTGCTGTTTGCTGGCAGCTCCCGGGTGGTGCTGTTTTGCAACAGCTGCCTCAAGCAAGTAGGGTGCCGAAGTCTTACTGGGCCGCAGCTTCTTGTGGCACGTCCACGTCTCCACTTGGACCGTCGAGTCGTCGAAAAGCTCTCTCTTCTTCAAGGTCACGAAGTCCTGGCTCATTGCTGTCAGCTCGTACAGCTCGCCATCCATCTGGTAGAGATTGCCGATGCTCAGATCCAGCTTCTGCTGGGCCTGCCACAAAGGGTCGTAGGCTTGGCCCAAACTCACGAGCCCAGGCCCTGCAGGAGTGCTCTCAGCAGTCGGGGCTGCAGCACTGCTCTCCGAAGTCACCTTCCCAGTCTGTTTCTGGAACTCGTGAAAGATGGCAGGCAGGTCCTTGAAGGTCTTGCTGTCTCGGCCCATCTTCCTTACAAATTCAGAGTGGAAGCCCCCTAAACCTGTCCTAAACTCGTTTTTCTGTCTTCAAGTCCAAGCTGCTGCTTGCCCACGAGATGTAGAGTCATCCGCATGCAAATCATGCCAAAGCTTCGAGCTGCTTCAAGATTCGGCAAACGGCTCGCTGTGTCCTGCCATGCCTGGTAAAGGAACGACTCCATCTCTGCCACTTCCTGCTTCAGCTTCTTAAGCTTGTCCCAGTCGCCTTTGACGAGCAAGCGAGAGAATCCATCTTGGATTTTGTGTGCTGGGCAGGAGAACTGGGTCGTCAGGAAAGCAAGTCTGACCAAGACCTTGTCTGCAGGAAGATACTGAGTGGATGCCACGTAGCTCCAAAAATCCTCGCCCACATTACACTGCTCCCCGAATTCTCGGCTGAACAAGCTCAGGAAGTGAAGAAAGCCTCCCTTGTCAGAGAACTCCGCCAGCCATTTGGCTATTGATCCAGCATATCTGCTGATGCCACTAGTGCCTGGAGGGCAAGCTTCCTTCGCGAGCTTCGCCACCGTCGGGTCTTTCATCCCTTTGGACAGCTCCTCCATGTGCAAGGCAATCTCAATCTCCAGAAGGCTTTGGAAGGCCGTGTTCGAAGCATTCAATGCTTTTTCTGC